TGGCAGTCATTACCAAATTTCTGTCTTGTAAAATCTGTTAACATATAATGGGTTCATTATTGTCACTTTCAAATGAATTACTAAATATTTTTAAACTTTACAGTTTTATATTATTGATTGATTGATTGAGACAGATCCTTGCTCTGTTGCCCAGCCTGGAGTGCAGTGGTGTGATCTCGACCCACTGCAACCTCCGCCTCCCAGGTTCTAGTGATTCTCCTGCCTCTGCCTCTGGAGTAGCTGGGACTACAGCCTGTGCCACCACAAGTGGCTAATTGTTGTATTTTTAAAAGAGATGGGGTTTCACCATGTTGGCCAGGCTAGTCTTGAACTCTTGGCCTCAAGCAATCCACCCACCTTGGCCTCCCAAAATACTGGGATTACAGGCATGAGCCAATGTGCCTGGTCCAGTTTTATTTTTAATATGGTAAATATTGGCAGATATAGTGCATATTTTTTAAGTTCTTAATAAAGTTTAAGAATTTACTGCCGGGCGCAGTGGCTCACACCTGTAATCCCAGCACTTTGGGAGGCCGAGGCGGGTGGATCACGAGGTCAAGAGATTGAGGCCATCCTGGTCAACATGGTGAAAACCCTGTCTCCACTAAAAATACAAAACATTAGCTGGGCATGGTGGCGCATGCCTGTAATCCCAGCTACTNCCCAGGAGGCAGAGGTTGCGGTGAGCCGAGATTGCGCCATTGCACTCCAGCCTGGGTAACAAGAGTGAAACTCCGTCTCAAAAAAAAAAAAAAAAGAATTTAAAGGCCTCCTAGCACCAAAAATTTGAGAATTGTTGTTTTAGAATTTTTTTTTATTAAGTGTCTGCTGGTGGCAAATTCTTACATTTTGCCTGCCTGTAAATGTCTTTGTTTCATTTTTATTCTTGAAAGATGTTTTCAAAGATACATTTTATTTTTCTTTAGCACGTTGAAGATGTTATTCCACTATCTTCTAGATTTCATTGCTAATTAAGAAATCAGCTGTCATCTGTTTCTTCTTTGAAAGGAATAGTCCTTTTTTTCCCCCTGGCTGCCCGTCAGATTTTTCCTCTGTGCCTAGGATGTTTTATAGCTTCACTTTGGTGTGTCTAGATACAGCTTTACTTCTATTTCTCTTGCCTGGGGTTTGTTGAGCTTCATAAACCTGTGGATTGGTATCTTTCATCAGTTCTGTGAAAGTCTCAGGCGCTCTTTGTTAATGTTTGTCTCTGCCCCATTCTTCCTCTAGAATTATGATCAAGCATGTACTAATTAGACCATTTTATTGTATTCTCTTTGCTTCTCAGGCTGTGCTCTGGAAGTTAATTTTGTCCTAATACTCAGTTTATAGTTCTGTGTTAAGTTGTTTCCAATCTAATGTTAAATGCCTCCATTGAATTTTAAATCTCAGTTACCGTATTTTTTAATTTATAGAAGGTTTGTTTGGTTCTTTTCAAATTCACTAGATCAAGTCACTCTGTAACTTCTTACCACCTATATTTCCAGCCTTGGCCTTTTATTTTTTTTAACATTGTAAGCAGAGTTGTTTTATGGTTGATAATTCACGTATCTGTGGTCTTTGTGAGTCTCTTTGTACTAGCTGTTATTTCTTCTAGTTTTCTCTGATCCCACCTTACCTATTCATAGGTTTGATTATGTGCTGCTTATTTTTTTTTAAAAAAGATAATTATCTGTATTAATAATATGAGACTTAGATTTTAAGATACTTCCCCTCAGGATTGTTGTGTGTGAGCACATTACAAGTCGCAATTACTTTAAATGTAAAGTATTCTGGAACACCAGAGTTGAAAATTCATGAGATTCTGATTAATCTTTACCTTCTGTGTATATCCCTTTGGGGATCCTTAGTGTCAGGAGGGAGTTCTGTTAGACTTTCCACTTTGGGCAGATCCTGTGTGTGGACATTTCTCCTCTTCATCATAACCAAAGATCAGACTTCCCTAATGCATAAATGCCCTCAGAGTAAAACGCCTGTGTTCTGCTTACCTCTCAGGGTCTCTACTTTTTCCCTTAGTTTTGGTTCCAAAACTTGTGTGTTAAACCATATGGGAAACTGCCTCTAGAAATAGCATTTAAAAATTTTAAGTCTAACCATAAAAACAGAGAATGCTTACCCTCTGGATGTAAATGCCATAGCAATAACTTTGAACTCCTACATTGCATGCCTTATATATAAGGCAAACCTCATTTAGTACACATTGAGAGAGTGCCATATACTTACTAAGATTACAGGCTCTAAAATCAGACTGCCTTGTTTAAAGCCTGGCCCTGCCCTATAGTAGTAGCCTGTGATGATTTATGCAAGATGCTTAATCTCTCTATGCCTTGGTTTCTTCATTTACAAAAGTAGAATAATAGCTTGCCTTTTGTGGTCATTAGGGGAAAAAATGAGCTGAAGCAAGTAAACATTTAGTACAGTGCCTGGCTCACAATTGGCTTTCAAGTGCTTAGGACAGTCAGACATATAGTAAGTGCTCAATAAATACAATAAATAGTCACTAGTTATTATGTTAAGCATTTATCAAGTGTCTGCTGCACCAACAGGCCTGTGTTAAGTTCTCTTGATCTTTGTCCGTCTTCAACTTAGGAAGGTGATTGCCCTTGCAGGAATCAAATAGAGAACAATTAGACAGCCGTAATGAAATTATTTGCTGAAATAATGAAGTTTTTGACTTAATATTTGATAAATTTATGATCAGAATAGCAAAGAGTCAGTACCTTTTGGTGAAAGTGGTTTCTAAACTCGGACTGTAAGGAAGTGGAACTGTGCAGGCTGCCAGCAGTGAGGCCAGAGGCTGTCATGAGCAGCAGCCATGAACACGACACACCTGGCCGGCACTTCCCACCTGGATGCAGTTTTTAAAGTGTTTCTCCATGTTGAGGTTCTCGCTACAGTCCTCTGAGGCAGCTGTTGATGAGAAAAGCACGGCCTAAACAATTGTGTGGAATAGGAGAAAGAGACATGCTGGGACAGTCCACAGGCTCACGATTCCTGGTGAGATGCGGATGGGCACATTCCACGGACCAGAACCATTATTTCTAGGAATGGGGCTTAGAGAAATCCTTGAACAGTTCTATTTATGAGTCAGTGTGTAAATTTACAAGTGAACGTGTCCTACTTTCAGTAGGATGATGGACAAAAACCTTTGGCTTACTAATACGTGGAATACAATATAGCAATTAGAATAAATAATGTAGATCTATATGTGTCAAAATGTGGATAAATTAAGAGACATAAAACTAAGTGGAAAAAGCTCGTTGCAGACAATAACTGGACATTGTGTGTATAAAAGTTGAAAGACAGGAGACGGTAATGCAGTGTGCATTGTTTATGGACACCTTGAAAGGCAGGAGAGGTACAGAGAACAAAGACAAAGTATCAAGAGCAGTCAATAAAAACATACCTGTGTTAGGGCAGCGGTTGCCCTGGGACAGGGAAGGAAGTTCATCTGAAATAAGTACGGCAAAGGCTAACGTATTTTATCTCTGATTTTTACCTAGGTGTCTGTTATATTGTTTTCTCTGTGTGTGAAATGATATATATACTTTTGGTTCTTTTATTTAAAAAGCTTAAAAAGCAAGCTTGGAATCAAGTAGACCTTGGTTCAAAAGCTGCTACCTGTTTACTCAGATTCCTTTCTCTCGCTGATCTTCAGTTTCCTCATCTACAAAATAGGGTAATCATTACTTCTTTGATGGTCTCATGAGGACTGGATGAAATATTTGTAAAGTGCCTAGTGTAACCTCTAACTTCTCATAGGTCCTCAATAAATAGTGCTTTTTATAATAAATAAGTAATCCAAGGCCACAGGGCTAGTCTCTGGGGCTATAGAATTTGAGCTCAGATGTCCTGACCCCAAGTCCAGAGCTTCTTCCACTGGCGAGAGTTATGTGAAGAGGATGCTGTTAGTAGAGGAGAGTGGTCACAGTCCCACGCTCTGACGACCCGCAGCAGTGTCAGCAGGACAGGAGCTGCCAGTGCTGTACCTCCTCCGTACCTCTGCAGCCCTCCTGAGAACGGTCAATCTTTTTTTTCTTTTTCTTTTTTTTTTTTTTTTTTTTGGCGGGGGAGGAAACGAAGTCTCACTCTGTAGCCCAAGCTGGAGTGCAGTGGCATGATCTCAGCTCACTGCAACCTCCACCTCCTGGGTTCAAGTGATTCTCCTGCCTCAGCCTCCAGAGTAGCTGGAATTACAGGTGTGTGCCACTGCACCCAGCCAATTTTTTTGTATTTTTTAGTAGAGATGGGGTTTCACCATGTTAGTCAGGCTGGTCTTGAACTCGACTTCCAAAAGTGCTAGGATTACAAATGTGAGGCCACCACGCCTGGCCTTTAAAACCTGGCAGTCAAGCCAAATACAGAAGTGAGAAGGTCTTCACAGTTGTATTGACAATGGCATTGAAAGCATTAAGAAGAAACATTGGAATTGAGAAGAGATAAATAGAAACTTTTTTTTTTAAGCTGCTCTGTCCAGCAGCTTAGGCCAGGTTAACTTTATGGTAATTAACAACCCGGAGATCTCAAGGGCCTCCAACAGCAAATGGGTCTTTCTTGTCCATCTCAGGTGTGGGTTACAGGCTGCTCCATGTCCTCTCCAGCCCGAGCTGGAGTGGGAGGAGCAGCCCTTGTCTGGGCGCCAGGAGGACTCAGCAGAGGCGCTGGGGCCGGAGCGCGACCTCTGAAGCTGTCAGAGCTTCTGTCTCAGCACAGGAACTGGCAGCTGAAGTCATCATTTCTGTCAACAGTGCATGCGTATTGGTTACTAGAAATTTCTAAATATCTGGCCATTGAGGGGACGTTTGGGAAAATGAAAAATTAGTCTGAGTAAGTGGAAAGGTCACTTGATACAGGGACTTCAACTCAGTTCTTCAACCGCCTGTGGACATTGAAGTATTTCACTACTGGAGGAAAAGTGATTTTGAGGTTCTGTTTTTAAGCACGGGTTTGGCTGGATGATCCTGTTTTGACTTTTTTACCTTTCCCTCTTTTGTTGACAGTGTCATCAGCAAGGTGGTCCCTGCCCCCGAGGCCAAGCCTGCGCCCTCGCAGAACAGGCCGAAGACCCCGCCGCCGGCCCCTGCGCCCACCCCCGGCCCCATGCTCGTGAGCCCCGCGCCTGTGCCGCTGCCGCTGCTCGCCCAGGCCGCCGCGGGCCCTGCCCTGCTGCCCTCCCAGGGTCCCGCCGCCTCTGGGGCCAGCGCCAAAGCCCCCGTGCGCAGCGTGGTGACTGAGACGGTCAGCACCTACGTGGTACGTACCTGCCACCCGCGCGGTTGGCAAGGAGACGTTTTCAGTTCAAGACAAGGGTGTGCTCTGCATCACTATGGAATTTCAGAGGCATTTCTCTTTAAAATTGTGTCATTTACTTAATTATTTTTGAGACAGGGTCTCCCTGTGTTGCTCAGGCCGGAGTGCAGTGGCCCAGTCATATAGCTCACTGCAACCTCAGACTCCTGGGCTCAAGCAATCCTCCTGCCTTAGCCTCTCAAAGTGGGGGGATTACAGGCCGGAGCCACTGCCCCCGGACCAGACGCCTGCCTGCCTGCCTGCCTGCCTTTCTCTTTCTTTCTTTCTTTTTCTTTCTTTCTTTTATTTCTTTCTTTCTTCCTTTCTTCCTTTCCTTCTTTCTTCCTTTCTTTTCTTCCTTCCTTCCTTTCTCTTTCTTTCTTTCTTTTTCTTTCTTTCTTCCTTCCTTCCTTCTTTTCTTTTCTTTTCTTTCTTTCCCTTCTTTCCTTCGTCTCTCCTTCCCTCCTTCCCTCCTCCCTTCCTCCTTTCCTCCCTTCCTTCCTTCCTTCTTTCTTTCTTGACAAAGTCTTGCTCTGTCACCCAAGCTGGAGTACAATGGCACAGTCTTGGCTCCCTGCATCCTCTGCCTCCCGGGTCACAGAGATTCTCCTGCCTCAGCCTCCCAAGTAGCTGGGATTACAGATACCGCTACTATGACTGGCTAATTTTTTGTATTTTTAGAAGAAACAGGAGCCAAGCTGGTCTCAAACTCCTGACCTCAGGTGATCTGCCTGCCTCGGCCTCCCAAAGTGCTGGAATTACAGGCGTGAGCCACTGGTGGTGCCCAGTCTTTTTTTTTTTTTTTTTTGAGAGGGGATTTCACTCTGTCACCCAGGTTGGAGAGTGAGTGGTGTGATCTCTGCTCACTGCAGCCTCTGCTTCCCAGGTTCAAGCGATCCTGCCACCTTTTGAGTAGCTGGGATCACAGGCATCTGCCACCACACCTGGCTCTTTTCTGGCTGTTTTTTTGTGTGTGTGGAGATGATGTCTCCCTGTGTTGCCCAGGCTGGTCTCAAACTCCTGGGCTCAAGCAGTCCTCCCACCTTAGACTCCCAAAGTGCTAGGATTACAGGCGTGAGCCACCAGGCCTGGCCTATTAGTACATTTCTTTAAAGGAATTTTGGAAGGAACTTCTAAAACTGTGATCATCAAATTGGTCCATTCAGGGAGCAATCATTGTAGGTGTTTAATTGAGGCATCATCACCCCCAAATGGGTCGATCAGGAAAGATTTTGTACTTAACCTCCCCAACCTTCATGTCTTCATCTGTAATTAAGGAGTTTGTGTTAAACTCTCTAATTTAACAAGGAGAAAATGTAACAAGGGATGTAACGGTAATCTCTGTGGTACGTTCTAGCTCTGAAAGTTCTGGTTTTCCAGTAAATCTTTGAGCTAACTCAGTCCCCGGGATGACTCCAATTGGAATAGACAACTCGATGGAAAGCTTTCCGGATGTGCACAGTGTCTCACACCTGTAATCCCAGCACTTTGGGAGGCTGAGGCAGGCAGATCACACGAGCCCAGGAGTTGAGACCAGTCTGGGCGGCATAGTGAGACACGGTCTCTGCAGAAAATACAAAACTGAGCCAGGCATGGTAGCCTGTGCCTGTAGTCTCCACTACTCGGGAGGCTGAGCTGTGAGGATCGACCGAGCCTAGCAAGTCAAGGCTGCAGTGAGTTGTGATCACACCACTGTACTCCAGCCTGGGTGACAGAGTGGAACCCTGTCTTTAAAATAAAAATGAAAATTATAAAAAAGCTTTCTACCTCATGAAGCGACAGGACAAAATGTGTGTTTTAGATGAAAAGGCTAGAGAGCAAAAAGGCAGGTTTTGTCACTGCCTAATAGTGTGATGTTGGAAATGCCACTTAAATTCCCTTAGCTCCGGTGTCCCCGTTCATAAGCTACCCAGAGGTCGTTTCACAATGATTAAATGAAATGAGGTGTTTGGGGTTAGTTGCTGGGGATGCTGCGGCGAAGTTCTCGTGGAGCACACGGAGTCTCGGCCTTCTCCCTGTAAGCAGCGTCAGCCAGCAGCGGGACTGGCCGTGTGCGGGAGCTTCGGGGCATAGGCTGTTGCACCAGCCTTGGCCACTGCACAGCGGGTACAGGTGACTGCTGGTTCTCACCCCGGTACATTTTCTCCTGAAATTACAGAGGGTCAAAGACGTAGCTTCCCACAGGTTTCTCTGGGAAGTTTTCCTGTCAGTGTGGTTTGCCTTTGTAGAGTCGCCTTGAAGGAAGCCTGTCCGTAGAGTGAAACATACTTGCACCACCAGTGCACCTGTCACACACAAAGAAGGCCTTTTTAAAACACGTATCTAGTCATCATGGTATTTGAACGTCTAGGAAGAACTGTGCCTTGCCAAATAAGCCGAATGATGTAATGTGCTCTGTTACTGTAAATACTTTTGCAGTTATCTTTTTCTTATTGCTGGTGTTGAATGCCCATCAGTGAATCACTTCTTCCAGGATGGCTCTGTTCATGTGAAGTTTGAGGAAGTGGGTAATAGGATGTGCCCTCTTTAGAACTGCAAAGTTAAACAAAGTCAACTCCAGAGTGCACAAAATTTGTAGCAAAATAATGTTGAACCTTGTAGCTCTTTGCCCTCTCAATTCCCCTCATTTCATTTGCCCTTTAGTTGATTGTACTTTACTAAAAATGTCATAAAGGGAATGGAAAGTTACTTAGTAACGACTCTTTTATATCCTTGATCTTATCAGCTCGTTCAGGAGAAGGGCTTGGCTAATAAGTAATGAGGCGGTGCATGCACATTTGGCTGTATGTATTAATTCCACGCCTATGAATGCGATTGAGAAAACCACATAGAAAGTGGAGCTTGGTAGCTTTCAAAAAATCAGTTGTTACCACCATAAAAACCCAAATCAGTAAGAATTTATGTTTTCTTTTGTTTGTTTGTTTGTTTTTATGAAAGGGGCTACAGGTCATATTGTTCAGAGATGATTCTAAAATGTTTGTTTTTTATTACTTACAACAGAAAGCTTAGAATATTCATTAGAAATGTCATCATTGAACACTTAGTAGCGTTTTTCTGTTTCATGATTCTAAAACAGTGATGACACTGATCATGGTGTTAATGAAGTGCTAATCTACTGTATTTTTTTAGTTTAATGTGCCCCTTTATTCAATTAACAGTATAATTATTCTGATCTGGTCTCTCTTTGTTTTTTTCTCATTCCCTCCGTTTTTCCCGCTCCCACTTTGCAAACATCAGATCCGAGATGAGTGGGGCAATCAGATCTGGATCTGCCCTGGATGTAACAAGCCTGATGATGGGAGTCCAATGATTGGTTGTGACGACTGCGATGACTGGTACCACTGGTGAGTGCCAGGGCGCCCTGCTGGCCGCACTCTCAGGCAGCACCCGCAGAGTAGATGTCAGCCTTTGGACTGAAGCAGGGCTGCCCTGGGGTCAGCAGGTGGAGTCAAATCACAGAGCCTGTGAAATGCAATTCATTGCAAAACCCAAGAGTCTTCAGACTATTGTTATTCACCCCAAATCTGAATATCCTGCTTAGCTTATCTATCCTTCTTATTAAAACAATAATACTAAAAGGAGACGCAAGGATGTCCCTGGCCTTGCTTTCAGGTAATGTTCCCTAGGAGCTCTAGCACTGGCCAGAACCACAAGGGGCAGCCCCTTTGTAAGGATGGCACAAATTGCAGGACTGAAGACTGCTTATCTGTGTTTTAAACCTATTCAGCAGTTCCTAAAAACTGAAACACTCAACCAAAATTTATGCAGCTAATCTCGTGTTAGCTTTAAAATGTCAGATACAAAAAGAATAGCAATCTATTCAGTTATCATATATGATATCTGTAAGATAGAGACAAAGCCATGGCTCAGAAGACTCCAATTCCTGGCTGAAAGGTTGAATGAACTGATGGATCTCAGCAGGGGCCTGGAAAAGAAGCTTCTGTAATATCGTAGTCTCCCTGCCCAACAACAGTGCTGCCAGTTAGTGCTGCTTGACTTTGATTTTGGGTAAACATGTCATAGACTTTTAAAAATTACTTTAAAACATTGAAGGAGAAGAGTAGATGTCTCTATAGAGGTTGCTGATCTGAGCTTGTTTTTCACGTGTAGGCCCTGTGTTGGAATCATGGCCGCACCCCCAGAAGAGATGCAGTGGTTCTGCCCCAAGTGTGCAAACAAGAAGAAGGACAAAAAGCACAAGAAGAGGAAGCATCGAGCACACTGACAGCTCGCCAGGGTCAGGGTCCAGTGGGGTCAGCTCAGGCGTCTTCCCTGGCGCCTCAGGAAGGGAGCTGGTGCAATTCTGCCGCCACACCCACCCCCAGATGCCCGTGGATGAAGAACCTGGGAGGACTGAGGCAGAAACACACCTTGAACCTGGATCGTTCACTCCCGAACCGCGTTGGCCTGTGGCTCCGTGGCCGGGCGACCGAAGGAAACTCAAGCAGAGGCGTGGCCTGGGGGCCGCCCCTCCTCCTCTTCTCTCGTACCAGTGACAAGTATTATTAATAAAAAGAGCGTACATCTTCCCTTTGACTTCCTTTATTCTCTCCAGGGCCTTTTCATGGAGGTATTAGATGAGAAGATAATGTGCAAACTGCCTCGACTGTAATTTAAGGATGATAGAGTCTGTATACAGTCTTCAGCCCCTTTCCTCTATAGTAAGATAATCATAATAACATAAAGGAAAACTCCAGTTGGAGTACTGGTAAATATTTTTGTGATAAGAATATATGAAGCTTCCCTCCTTCCCTCGTTTTTAGTACTAACATGTAAAATGTTCAGGCTTTTGTGAAATACCTTATATTTTTTAAGAAAAAGGTTTCTATCATGTCCCGTTTGCTTTTGTGCAAATTATTTTTGTTTAATGTATTTTATATCTTCGTTGCATTCTAATTTTGCCCTTCTTTAAACTGCTGGAGTCTCTTCTCACTGCTTGTACATTTCATCAACTTGTATAAAAACTCTTCAGACTAAAAGATTGCCCCTAATGTAAATAATAAATATTTATGAAGTAGTTATTTTTTAAATTTTTATCGTGTTTAATTCTGGCTTTCTCTGAAATCCACTGTGATTTCAGCCGTGTCTGTATTGACGCTGGACAGAAAAAAAGAAGGCTGGAGAAAAAGCCATCGTTCAAAGACATTTCCCTTGAGCTGAACCTGTGCAGTGGCCGAAAAGATTGTGGGGGAAAGGGCCCAAGCAGTTGGAAGGAAAACAAGGCAATTTGAATTTCTAGTTTATGATTTGAAGTTGTTTTGTTTGTTGTCTATTTTGTTTTTGTAAATTTCTTTGACAGATTTTTACTAAAAGGACATGTAGTTTCCATGAAAGTTAAAAAAAAAAAAAAAAAAAAAAAAAAAAACAGAAAACAACCCACATATACTGTAGCATTTTGTCTTTATATTGTTTTATTTCTACAAATCTGTTCGTTAATATTGTGCTTTAAGGCTGAAATGAAGTATATTATGAATTTTTTTAAGAAAACTCATCAAATTTCAGGGTATCACAAAATTTTATTGTATTATTATACTCCCACTATTTATTATATGTTATAGATGTCTGAGAGGTAAACCAAATATTTTATTTTTAATGTTAAAAAAACATCAAATTTAACTTTATTAGCATATTTTAGCAACTTTGGAATAAATATGGACTTTTACTTGTTTTTGAAATAATCCTAGTGTAGGCCCATGTACTGGATCTCTTGGATACTAGAATACGGCCTTTGAACCGAATACAAATATATTACTAAAAAATGTGATTTTTTAAAATGCCAAGAAAATTGATATTAGTGTATGAATTAGTCGTATTCGAAAACATTATGTGGTTAGAGAAGTGTGGTTTTCTGCCATGAATGTGAAATTGCAAATCAGTGGAAATGGAGTCGCCCTCCTCAGACTGCAGGGTATCATCACCCTCCTTGTTCAAGAAGCCAGAATTTTTCTATCCCTGCAAAGAAAGCATCTATGTTGAGATATGTGGTTTTTTGTTTTATTAATTTGAGATCATTCTAAATACTTTATACAGTATTTTCACATGCACAAAAATGCGCGTTAGTGCTTTTTGGAGAGGGGTGAGGGGTGGGGGAAGTGCAAAATAAAGATTATTGGCTATTTCATAGTTTGCTTTTCCATTTTCTTTATTTAGGATTTAGTTCCTTGAGGCATGGTCCATGATCTGAAGTTGCCACGTTTAAGTGAGCAGGTCATGCTGCTGAAATCAGAATGGAGGTGAAATCAGAATAACTTTCCCCCCAATCTTGCTGTCTGAGAGACTTCAGCCAATGCTACATTTAAGGAATTTCAATCAGTTTGTTGTCCCTTGCTATTTCATGGTTGCTTTCCTAAATCCAGTTCATGATTTTATAAATGGTCTTTGCAATAATAAAACCAAAGAATCATTTTCAGGGGGCTGGAGAGCTGGAGGGATTAGTAATGGAATACAGAGCCTTTCACCTCTAGGTCAGTGAGTCGGATCCAGCCCAGGTCACTAGAGACCAAAAATTGTCACCATCTTATGACTGTTCAGTGGCCTGTATGAAACGAACTGGTGGTCTCAGTCTCTACTGGGTGGCTGGCTGTGACACCAACCAAAGGAAGTTCAAGAAACTGCAAAAAGAAACGTGGATTAGAAAATAAAACATCTATGTGACAAAGAAAAAGTTAGAAAGTTGGGTGTAGTCATCCTCCAGAAAGTAATACTGAAGAAAAAAAAAAAAAAAAAAAAAAAAAATACAAATACCACAGACAAATGGAGATTAATTCACTTTCCTTGATGAAGTCAAGCAAAACTGGAAAAGAAAAGCGTATATTGGGTGAGAAAGGAGAGGGTTAAGTGGGGAGGATGATTTAATCAGGAGAAAAAGCTTAAGGGCCCAAACACTGGGAAAAAATGGGTTTTGACTTTTGAGGGAGAAGGAAATCGCAAAAGGCAGCAGCAATTTGAGGAACTACTGTAGCAAAATTAGATGCAAAGGAATGAAAAGTATTTCCCTTTAGAGGGTTTGCAGTTTTCCAGCTGAAGCAAAATCCTGACCGGTTTTAATTTAGTACAGCACTATCATTTGAATAGCACCAATACTTTATAAAAAGAAGTAATGGGGGCAGGGGGTGTGGAGATTGTCCTGGCAAGTGATTTTACTGAGGGAGATGGTGTTTGAGAAACGGACCCTCACTCATGGAACCGAGACACTCTTCTGGCGTGATAATCTGCCGTCAGAGCCAGATGGAACTGGCAGGGCTTAATTTCTGTGGCTGACAAGGTGTTTCTCTTCCAAAGGTGTATACAGTGAGGCACAGTGAGGATCTTTATCCCCTGACTGATTTGTGGTTCCAAATGTCCTGGAGAAAACCAGAGGCTATCAGAGTATTCTGACTTTGTCGGGCTTTTTTCAGAGATAAAATACAGTGCATTACTCTCCTGTATCACCTAAACCGCCTTTGTTCTCCTTTCAATGGGATGATTAAACAAAGACCTACTAACCAAATTAAAGTATAAAATGAACACTGAGATATGGAAACCTTGCCACTAAGCATGCTAATGAAGAAAGTTCACTAAAGGCATGCTGGCTAAGTTTTCAATACAAATAGTTTTATGGCCAATCTCTAGATCATAGCAGTTTTCTTTAGAAGTTTAAGTCTAAAAGTAGATGAGTTACCCTGACCAAAGAATGAAACAGATAATGTGCTGAATAATGTCTGTTTCCACAATGGTATCAGTTGTTCTGTTAGGAAACTATTTCTTTGAGAATGTTGCATTCATGGTAGCCTAAAAAGTATACAGTAACTATTAATCCATGTGTGCAAGCCAGTAGATGCCATTGAAATGAGATATTAAGGTGGACAGCTGGACAGCTTGTTCTTCATTTAGTCTATGTATGAGTTATTAAAATGGCTACTTTTTTTTTTTCTTTTTAATTCTGGGCAACTCAGTTTTAAATTGAGTTTGAAGAACATTGTTACATGGTTTCATTCATGTAGTCTACATTTGCTAGGCACATTTTGTGGAAATGGCAGTGATGTGTCTGAACCACGTTCATTTCCAGTTGTCTGGTTTCTGAACTGCTCGAGTCCTTCCTCTGGCTCCGTGATTTTGAATTGTTCCCAAAATATACTATGTATTAAAGTGTATTCCATATATTACTCTTCCCATTTTTCCATGCATAATCTTCCTATCCACCTTAGACTGCAACTAGTTTTTAAGGTTAATACAGCTTCATGCTTTTACATTTTACATTCATGGCTGGGCGAGGTGGCTCATGCCTGTAATACCAGCACTTTGGGAGACCAAGGTGGGTGGATCATGAGGTCAGGAGTTTGAGACCAGCCTGACCAACATAGTGAAACCCCCATCCCCACAAAAAATACAAAAAAAAAAAAAAAGCTGGGTGAGGTAGCAGACGTCTGTAATCCTAGCTATTCGGGAAGCTAAGGCAGGAGAATCGCTTGAACCTGGGAGACAGAGGTTTCAGTGAGCCGAGATTGCACCACTGCACTCCAGCCCAGGCGACAGTGTGAGACTCCATCTAAAAACAACAACAACAAAAAACGTACATTTATAACAAAATAAGAGCTTAGCAAATGTTTGCATTAACTATCCTAGGAACTAGCAGAGTAGACATGATATGAGAAAATACATGTAGAAAGCTATGAACACCACAGGTTTAAATGTGTATGGCTTTCAGAACAGAAGTTCATTTCAGGTGCTTAACCCTACACAATCATTTCCTACCGTATCCTTAGAACCTAGTCAGTATTTTAATCTTTTGAAGTTTTGTGGGGTTTTTTTGTTGTTGTTTGTTTGGTCTTATTTTTGATTAATGAAACGTTCAGAATAGGACTATCTTTAAAAAAAAAAAACAAAACAAAACCACAAACCTGAAAAATGTCATTGTGATTATCCTTAATGAGTAACTATTGCCAGGTTGAATGGTTTGAAGAAAATGTTGGTGCTGATCTAGTTAACTTATTTAAAGCATCAGAAGTACCAGACAAAGTTAAAATCATCCAAAAATATTATCAGGTTATATTCAGATTATTTATTATTGTACTGTTTAGGATATTAATTAGACTTTTTTCTGCTAGCTTTTAGAAAATGAATTATTTATTTACTTATTTATCTATTTGTTTATGAAACAGGGTCTTAGTCTAGGGTCCAGGCTGAAATGCAGTGGTGTAATTACAGCTGACTGCAGCTTCAACCTCCTGAGCAGCTGGGACCAAAGGCATGTGCCACACGTCTCGCTAATTTTTTATTTTTTTGTAGAGACAGAGTTGCCCAGGCTCGTGTCGAACTCCTAGGCTCCAGGAGTTTAGGGCTGCAATGAGCCGTGATCATACCACTGCATTCCAGCCAGGGGCCACAGAGCAAGACCCTGTCTCAAAAAAGAAAGAGGGGGCAAGTGGGGGGGAGGGAGAGAGAGGGAGGGTGGGAGGGAGGGAGGGAAGAAAATGAGGATCCAGAAAGGGGGCACATACACCATCCTTCCCAGGTTGGTTACCTCTTGTACGAGCAGAAGGTAAAGGAGCAAGGAGCAGGAGAAGGAAACCTCCAGCTGTAGAAATGGCTGTCTTTGGGGTGGAATGACCGGGAGCTGCTGAGGGAGTGAGGGCGTTTACCAAAATTTCTCCACCCAGGCATGTTTCTTTAATTACAAAAGGTTGGGCAAACAGGACAGAGACATTTCTATTGTTTTGTTTTCAATAAAATGAAAGAAGTGAAATGGACAGATAGTGTGACATTTTCAGCTTACTAACAACTTTTCATTAATTACATATTTTATGTATCCAGGAGCCTGCACTTACATACAAAATATCAGTTGTCAGTGGTTTGTATCCAATGTGAGTGAAAATTCTCTATTTTATGTATCCAGGAGCCTGCACTTATATACAAAGTATCAGTTGTGTTTGTCCAATATCAGTGAAAATTCTCTCTTGCCTTGATTTAACCATTAATATCAACATAGGCTTATTCATATATACACACTGAAGCTACGGGCATCTCAACTGCTTCCATGTCATTTCTAGCA